TGGATCATCACAGTTTACGTACTGTACACAGCAATACAAAGGTTGTTAGTGAATAGAGATGGTTGCAATATTAGTGTTTATTATTGCCAATTCATTTTTTCTTCAATATAATATATTTTAAAGTACAGTAATACTTTATTGTAGGTCCACAGATTTCTATTGAAAGTTTTGACACTTTTTTTTCTGATTTTATAAATAAATAATATTCCTGCAAACATTTATACATGCAAACTTATTACCTACTAGAAAAATTGTGCTTATTTGTTGAACAGCATGAAATTCTGCTTTCATAGGAAAATTCCTAGTGGTTTGAATGTACAACACAATCTACGGCATTCAACAGTCTGGGTAATATAATGCATAGCACAGTGTACAAAATGCAACAGTTTGGTACATAATGTACATCAAAGCATACTAACTTAGTGGTCCAAAATATAAAATAAACAGCACACCATATAAATTGCAGCAGAAAATGTACCATAAGAAACACTTATAGAGTGCATTCGTCCACTCCATGTGACATACACAGTGTGGTCTGCAGTATATGATGTAACATGAGTACCGGATTCCTGCCATCTAGATTATGTAATGTGCATCACTGTGTTTACAGCACATTAGTCCAGAATATGTGATTAACAGCATAGTCTGCATTCACCTGAGATATGCTATGTTTAGCCTGTTGTAGAGTGCAGCAGTCTGGAGTATGTAACATACAGCTGGTTGTACATATTGTATAGGATGCAGAAGTTGGGAATAGGTAACACACAGCACAGCATACAGAGTGCATTGGTTTAGAATATGTAACATACAGCATGGCACATATAGTGTAGCAGACCCCATTACATTGGTGGTCAGTGTAAATGCCAATGTTATATTGGTGGTCAACTATGCAGGTCCACACCAGAACTATACAGTAACTGTACATGAACTGATATGATGACCAACAGTGAGTTTAGTTCTGGCAATGGAATGTATCATTTCAGCACAGCAAGTAGCTTGAGACAAGCAAGCGTTTAGTAAAACAACCACTGACACAAAAGATTCTGAGCTTCCTGCCACTACCCACCACTGTAAGGGGACCCTTTATCATGTAACATCAATGTAGAGGGGAACTTAACAGTGGACCGTCAATGGGTACTTTACCTATGATCACCAATGTAAGGGGCACTGCACTGATTGCCAATGTAGAGGAACGCTTTTAATCCAAGAGAGCCTCCATCTGAATTTGTAGACTTTTATTTTTGTCATCTAATGAAAGGTTTAAGTATATGATTGGTTGACATGAGGGGATTATTAAGCCCATCACTTTGCACTACTCTATGGAGAAACTTGTTGCATACATCTTGGATAACTCCCCTGAGATCTACTAAGATTGGTTATCTAGTTTTATCATCGCCATGGGCAATATTGTATTGAGTATCATTGTCTTATGGTTGACTTGAGTAAATGTAAAGAATGCACAGTTCCATGCATTTCACAGTATATAACTTAGATCTCTTTAATAGTGAAGTGCTATGTTCTCAGTTGTGTCCATTTTTATGAATCAAGATAGATTTTACTGATGATCTCTCACTGAACTTTACTATAAGGCCTTAACATTTACAATGAGAGCTACTGCTTCACTAATGTTTCAGTGATTTCAAGTCTGATCTTTTAATCAAACAGACCTTACTGAATTATGGCACTTTTTATGAATATATTTTAAATTGGACTATAAATGCCAAAAGCATTTTTTCTAATTTACTTCTATGAAATCCATCATTAAGTCTTTTACCAAGCAGCAGTTCAATTTAACGATGCCCTACAGTACTGATGCAGGTATTTGACTGTGTTAATATTGCTTTATTTGTAGTTACAATGAATTGTGCTTAGGTAAGCTGGTATTGTAAGGATTGGTTACGAAGCCAATATAAATAGGATCTCAAATTAAAGCCAGAATCAGCAGCTCCTATTTTCAGTAAGCTTTTCTTCTTTTACAAATAAATTCTAGCATACTCTAAGTGAAATACAGAGTGATAAGTGACATTCAAGGGGTCAATTGACATAGGGGTGTCCACATTTTTCCATCCCCCCGGAAGCAGCATTAATCATTATCTCTGTAAGTTTATCCCTTTTTATTTTAATATTGTTTGCTTGTATGTATGTCTCATTTATTAACTTCTATTTTTGTAACCTTTTTGTAACTATCTTTTATAAATAAATATATTTACCTAATTTCAATGTATATTTTTATAAGCCTAGAAGCTTGGTTGTAAGTCATTGCCAGGCAGAGCTCTGTGTCTGGGGGATGTGTGTGTGTGTGGAGTGAAAGAAGTGGTACGCCAAGGTTCTAGCTAGGACGATAGCTTGGGGAATCTTAGTGGGTGTGAGGAAACCACTTAGGATGCCACACAACCATTACAGTACTGTACACTAGATTGTATGCAAGATTTGCACCTGCCTGTGTGCCCAGCCAGCTTGAGTTGGGTGAGTCTCCCTCCAGTGGTGACCAATGGTAGTGCAGGAGACTGTGGGTGGAGGTAGTCACTTGAGGTAATTATACCTGATTTAGCTAACCTGTACCTGCTACTGAGAGCAGTTTATGTGGTCTGTGGAGCCTGTGTGCCAGTCTGCTTGAGTGCAGAGTGTACGGACTAGGAGTGTCTAGGACAAGGTTTCCCACAAGCCTTTAAGTTGTGGGTGGTGACAGCTTTGATTAGTTCATTTGTGCATGTGTGTTGTGTGTTACGGCCTTGTACCATCATGCTTGTGGACTGGTTGATTTCTGAGGATGAGCGAAGGACGACAATAGCCCGTGCATCGTCCAGCCCTTCCCACATTCCCATATCCCCTCGGCGCCCCACCCAGACTGCTTTCCATGCAGCAGAGTGGCGTAGTGGTTGGCACTTTTGCCTAACCACTACCGTGATTAAACAGACAAGGTCCCATTTACACAGGCAGTCCAATCAGATCTGACTGTTTTTTGATGTGGATCTTATCAGAAGCCCAATGTATTTCTATAGGCAGCCAAATGTAAACGGACATGTGTCCATTTAGGTCTGGAAAAAACAAGGAACAAAGTTCTGTTTTGGTGAACCTGATCATGACAGATCAGAGTTAATTGGATGTAAATGGACGCATGTCCAATTACATCCGACTGTCCATAGAACTAACATAGGTCTGTTAGTTCAGTTTTTGAAAAACTGAACAGACATGGATGCCACAAATGTGACATCCGTTCCGATCAGCAGGGCATCTGTGCATGGATGTCCTGCTGATCAGAATGGACAAGTGCCTATGTGAACAGGGTTTTTAGCTGCGGCTGGGGATTCCTGAAGCAAGAACCTACAGATTGGCTCATAACTTTCAAATGGGCTGTCTAACACAACTTATGTTGTTAGTGGCTACGGAGTCACTATAACAAGCATGCAGTCTGAAGGCTTGTGACACTTCAGAGACTCACAAGGTAGTAAAACTGAAATGCTGACGTAAAGACAGCTTGAATGCGTCTTTCACTACAAGTTACCTGTGAATGTTGGTAGATATTTATGTGCATCTTGTCCTGTCAATGGTTAGGTCTTGAAAATGTGGCATTCAGCAATTAGCACTGATCTTATAAGTCCAATCTATAATCAATAAAGTATTTCTTATAGTTGACAACAGACTGCGCTCAGGGACCAGGGGTGCCATTGAACAAGCTGTTATGTTTAATGAGTGGAAAGGCAGGGCATATATACATATGGAATGCAAAAGCAAGACAAAAAAAGACAAAAAAACAATAGTTGAATATTTACAGAGTAATTGGTTGTTAGCCCTGGTTTGGTGGTCTAAATGGACCTTGTAGCCTGTGGTTTTACCAATAGGTTTAGTTACAAACTTAACAGAAACTAACTGAATCACAAGTTCTAATTAGCAATTATCTTGAAACAAGAGGCATGTATGTGACATGCAACCTGACATGAAATTGAATTATATACATGAATTACATTTCTTTTTCAGTTACATCAGTAGCTGTAGTACTTACTGTTAGGCAGTATTCACACATCTTTAGTGCTCATTTTGATGTTCTTTTTGCTGCATTATTGTGTGTTTAGAGGTGCAGATTTATGTTTGTGCATATTGCTATATTTTTAGCGCACTTCAGCTAATCAAGACATGATTTAATGATGCATTCACACTTGTCAATTAAAAGCACGTTTCTATTGAAATCAATGGAAACATACGAAAGGTTGTAATGCATGTCAGTGTACGTCAACGTCATATTGATGTGCAATGCAAAGTTTTTGCAACACGCATGAACAGACATCAGCTGGCATTTTCATGTGTACATTTTAATGGGACACAGATGTGCCAAAAAATTGACAAGTGTGAATGCTGCCTAAAATGTAAAGGTGTGAGCCAAGCCTTGGAGCTTTATAGGACTTTTTTGTATTATTTTTGTACTAGGATTTTTGTACTAAAACCTAAATCTTTTGTGTTGTTTGTATTGCACTTTATAAGTTATCTTTATATTGAGTTTTATGTTAGTTTGAAGGTCTTCATCATTCAAGCACTGTTGTTACTTTTTCTGATGCCTATTAACAACTAAAGGAAGTTTTCTGTTAAAATGTTAACAATGCACACATAATAACTTTCTTTTAGTGGTTTAACTTCTGAAATAAATGTTTTATGCTATAATTTCAGAACGCTGCACATAAACATACCCAATATATTTTCAGTACCTATGAAACATTAAAGAATTGAATTGCAGATGTCCTATATTGAGAAGATTTAAAGGTCCTGGAAGGGATAAATATTGCTATGTTATTGATATTCCAAGTTAGGGGTGTTAAGTGTGTTAGTTTATTACCACTAATGCTAGAGTGAAATTTCAGTTTGATATAACATATGGCATTTATGAATAAAGAATGAATATAGAACAGAAGCATGCAGTGAATATCAGCATTGCATACTGGGCACATAAATGAGAAAATTATATATATTTGTATACTAAGAAAATGTGTTTCTTTTTCCCATTGCAGGATAATGATCACAGTGGCATGGGATTTAACAGTCCAAGTAAGAATCTTTTTTTCCTTATTTATATTTCATTGCATATGTTGTACATAGGTAGTTGGCAGATGTTCTGAGTTTGCTGATATGCATCCATTTGATCTAGTCTGATGTGTCTCATTGCAAAGGAACTGGGAGTACAAGTGAAAAAATGCGAACAGATATGTTCGTTTGCGGTAGATGCCTCTGGTAACAAACAAAAATAGTTGACACTAAAGCCTACAAAAACACACCTAAAACTATGTACAGTATTTATGCTGGCAATGTTTTTAATACGTTAAGACATATTTTTTATGAGACTTTGGGGAATATTTATAAAGCTTTGGTGAATCCATAAACATTCACTGCCAGTGTTCACCACATTTATAACACAGCAAATGTGATGTCAGTGAATTTACAGTTCAGTATATATCAAGAGTATGCTTAAAGGGCACCTAAACCCTAAGAACAAAAAGGTAATATGTGGCATATTGCAACTAACGAGTCCTTAAACCCTTAAAAGGTGAAGGTAAAACAGACCTTAATGCCTGTACCCAGTTTTGCATCTTTGGCATGTGTTATTAAAACTGTACATATCTTTGCAACAACTTTGTGTATCCAGGTGATATTTTTTTATGGACAAATTGGGCCTTCATTTGGTCGTAAATGTTAATGACTAGTTCCTGATTTTTTTATTATTACAGTAAAATTGGCCCAAAAAAGCAAAAACATTTTTAAGCTTTAGCTGTAACTATCTCTTGCTTATTAACATGACCCACCACCAAAAAACAACCCAAAATAAGTTCTTCTATTCCAGATGTTCATGGGGGTACCTCATATGTGTGTATTATTTGTTGTTTGTACCTATAGCAGGGCCCAAATAATGCACACTTTGTTTTTTCTTTTTTTTTTCTACTTAAAACACAGACACTTATACTATCACTGGCACTGACACCGACACTGAATATAAAACCTTTTTTTTTTAAATCTTATCTAAAACACACTGACGCTAAAGCTGACACTAACCTAGATCAAGCCCTGATCTACCTATTTTATGTTTATTATTTTTAAACATACTTTTTTTTTATAGGCTTCTCTTCTAGAGGACCTTTGAAAAGATGCAATGAGGGGAATGTATCAATACTGGAGCAGACAAAATCTGGAGCAGCTGTGCATAGTAACCAATCAGCTTCTGTCTTTCATTTTCAAAGCTTAACTGAACATACTGAAGAGAGAAGCTGATTGGTTACTATGGGTAATTGCTCCAAATTCTGTCTGCTCCAGTTTTCCAAGCTCAACCCTGTGATGGACTACAGTCTCACATTTAGAGGCCTTTTACACATGTGTTAAAATCAGGCATTAGAGAAGCATTTACGCACAGTCAAAAAGCATTTTTCGGCATTTAAGAAGTGTTGCACAGGTGTTGTAGGAGAGGCATAGGAGGTTTTGCAATCCCAGAAATCACTTGGGAATCATAGAGTGAGTGAGTGGACAGAGCAGGTGCTGATGCCACTTCCTGTCTGCACACAGCCAGCATTTTGTGAATGTGAATGTCAAAGCTAGCGTTTTCCCAACAAAACAGGACAGCTTCTAGTCTGAAATATGTCAGAAATAAATGTTGCATGGCTAATTCAAGCAGTAGAGCAACACCCAGATTTGACTCATTCAAAAAATAGAAGTGTGGCCACTTCTGGTCACTTCGCTTTACTTCATCACTTTACCCTTTAAACACACTCCCATACTTGTAGGGCATTTTGCAAGCGTTTTTGATGCCTCCCTAATGCCTTGAAAATGCCTGCCGAATGCCTTGTTAACACTATAGGCTTGTTAAACAGTGTTGCTCTTTCATTAAATTCTCAATGAGTTTAGTGTCACTTTAAATAGCTAAAGAGAAAGGACTGTGTACACCAGGGATTCAGAAGAGGTTGACTCTAGTTTGCCCTGTAAAAGTCTTTGACCTTTTCGAGACCAAGGGTCATTAAAGCCTAAATGCCCAGGCCAATTTTAGCAGCGTCAGCATACATTATTTAACTTCCTTGGCCGTAGCTCTATGACTAGTTTGCATACCTAAATAACTGTTATAGTTTTTTTCAAGGGCGTATAGGGCTTTTATTTAGTATACTGTTTTAATAAAAGCCCTGCCCTTATTGGCAGAATGCACAACAATGTAAAAAGTACATTTTAAAATGTTTAATTCATATATGTATTTTCTATAATACTGTGATTGTATCTGACATTTTATTATTAAACACATGCCCCCTGCTAATGGTAGGCTAAAGTCTTTTTTGTGAATGAAGCCTCCAGCCTGCATGTGATCACTATGTCATAGTGTCATAGCTGACATGGTGATCACATGACCAGGAACCACTCTTATTGCCTCCCGATTTGTAGTGGGGACAGAGCAATCGATGAAAGGCAGGTCTAACGGGTACCAGCCAGACACAGTGCTGACATCAGATATCAGAAAATGTAGCCTAGAAGGAGGGAAGGAAGAGGCTGAAGTTAGTGCCATGTGATATACTAACTGGCAATAGATATGCTCAGTAGGCATGACACAGGTAGGTATTATGCCGTCAGTCAGCTTTTATGGGCAAAGCAAGACGTAGAAACACTGATGTTACTAGAACTTTGAATGTGTTTCTACGTCTTATACTTTGAATGTATCAGAACTTTTTTATGGTGCCACCCATGTAGGCCATAGGGACTGTTACCTATAAATAGTCCATCATTTAGTCCCTGATATGTCAAGAATGCTAGCTGAAGAGCAATAACGTAAAATGTGTAAAGCATATTGATTAGTTGTAAGGATTATTACAAATGGAAAGAAATCACCTCCACGTCCACCATAATATAGCTGACATATAATTTAAACAACTATGCAGCTGATAAAAGTTGACTAGGATCTTTCAACAAGCGTTAGTGGCCATTGAAACAATAAAAATGGCTACACAACATAGTACTGACCTCTTCATGTATAAAAGCATAGTATGCATCACTGATGAATGACGGGAACAAACTAAAGTATGTGAATCCATAATTTAATCTATGTAATATATATTATAAGGATTCATGTTTGCAAATCTTAAAAAGAGTTAAAGCATATAGTATATTGTTTAACTTTGAGATTATGGCAAGCACTATCTGGCTGCCAAAGAATGTGTAATTCTTTTTAGTGAGTCAGTGGATGCAGACAGCACAGACAGGTAATTGACCTCCACTGTAGCACCATTAAAGGAGAACTATGAGGTGAGTGCTTTTCACTCACCTCATAGTTCTAGCCAACCTTTGACAATGAGACTGTCACAGGTCGGCCCAGTAGATCGGGAGGTGAGCGAACACATACCGGCGTTCGCTCACCTCTCGATCCGGTCACGACTCTCTGCCGTGACAGGGGAGGGGCTGGATTCCCCCCTCCGATCCGCCAGCGCTGACTTGCGGAACGGACGCGGGAAGGGGCGGGTACAGCTGGCTTTGCCTCTAGATAGGCAGAGCCAGCTGTCATTCACGCAGCTGGGCGGATCCCGGCACAATTGTCGGGATCCGCTTCAGCTGCGGTGTCTCAGTATACCACGAGCAGCAGCTCGCGGTATACTGCGGCGTCTCAGTATACCGCGAGCTACAGCTCGCGGTATACTGAGCCTAGGGTGACGGGAGGACGCTAGATTGTGTCCTCCCGTTACCCTAAGGAGAACCATGGGGAAAAGCCTTAACCCCATAGTTCTCCTTTAAAGCTTGGTCAACAACTACCTCCAGCCTGCAGTTTGGGCAATGAAGAAGCAACAACACACTGATGAGTCATTACTGGGCTCTCTCAGTGCATGTGCAGTTCAGTCGAACCCAAACAACTCCTATCTTGTCCTCCTACTCCCAGTCTAAATGTTGCAATTACAGGAGACTGTTATCAAGAAAAAATGTGTTTTCTATATTGCTATATATTTCCTGTAATGCAGTGATTACAGTTGCAAATAACTGGCACTTACCACTGTGTAGGAAAATAAGCATTGATAAGCCATACACAAAATACTATTTGAATTTCAATAATAGAGTTCTACTATACCTTGTAGGTAGAGCTTGGTCAAAAGAAGACACAACATTAAAATGTCTACCCAACTATTTCTTATTTTGGACTTTAGAATCCTTTACTGGCCTTTACATAAACAAACTCAGACACTCTGCCTCTCCTGACCCTCCATCCTGCTCCCATCCTCGCCGGAGCACTCACTCCCCCTGCGGATATAGGATGAGTCGTGCTCCAGCAGTGTCCCCCCTGAACTTGATTTACTTGATCTACTATAGATCCTATAGGTTGATTTACTATAGGCAAATAGGCTGTTCACTTTGCAGGGGATTTTCACTTTGCAGGGGAATTTTCCCTTTGCAGGGAATGTTCCCTCAGCTTGGTGAAATTTCACTTTGCAAAGTATACCCAATCATGTTCAGGGGAAAGGAAAAAACCCCCAACAACAATATTTTTGATTGCACATGATTGATGACGACAATCAACTGAGCTTTATTTCATTATCTAGGCTAAGGGAAAACATCCCCTGCAAAGTGCAAATTCAGTGGCAAAGTGAACAGCCTATTTGTCTTTAGTAAATCGACCCCATAGTGTATTTTGGGGGCATACTTTAAATATAGCAGTATTCCTGAAAAGATGTTTCTCCTGTCCAGTCAACGTCTCAGAGAGCAATTTAATTATGTGATGTGATTATCACTTACTTTGCTAGCCTTTCTTTTGGAATTGAAATGATAGAATGTCATTTGATTTTTAAAACATTTAATATTTGAAAAAATATGAATTGCATAGTAGAAGCCATACTAAAGCTAGGCCATTTGAAATGACATATGTGTAGGTGTACTATATCTCTGTAAAACACAATGCCTGGGAGGAACAAGACATTTCTTGTGTAATTTTAGAGGGAAATTTCTTTGGTAAACAACAATAAAGAATCAGCAGAATGAGCTATTATTCCCCGGGATGAAGACGCAGTTTACTTTCTGTGGATATTAAAAAGAGAAGAGAAATA